TTTTTATTTTAACCCAATGATTATAAATGACAATAGACAAACTGAGCTCATAATAGAGGTCAAAGAAACCAAACTGAACTAAGGCAAAAAATGTAAACAAACTGGCTGCACAGACAAACACTACTGACCTAACAAAGAAATGGCACACAGGGGTTTATATACTCGCTGATCAGACCAATTAAGGCACCATAGTGTAACTAAACAGAATACAATTAAAATAATACAAAAACAAATAACAGTACAGCTAAGTTTGGCTAAGCTAAAGACCCAGAAATGAAAATCCAAAATATTAAACTTTAAATACTAATATTTAAATATGAAACTTATCTATACAAAGAAACTACAAATTCCCCCTGCCAGCAGAAACTAGTGGTGCAGTCCAATCAGTATTTAAGCATGCAGAGCCCTGGCTGCCATCAAGGCAGGTAAGTTCCAGCAGGAAAAACAAACAGAGTTCATCTTAAGCAAGCAAAATTAACTTCAAGTTGATATAAATACATATGCTAACTAAATGTGCGTGCTAACAAATAGAACAAATGTATCCAAATCAACTAATGAACGTTTTTATTGAAACTAAAGTGTTATTGTGCATAAAAGAGTGACCGACATAGGAGTGTGGCCATCGATTTGGCCATCACAATAGCATCAACAGATTTTGCTCTAAAAATATATATACACTGCCCTGTAAAAGTATTCATTCCTCTTACTACCACAAATTCAATGTAATTTATTGTCATTTGTAAAGAAAATGATATATGCTTTTTGAAATTTCAAAAAAAGTGAATTTATAAACAAATATGAAAAGTCTAAGCCTCCACCCACCATCTCCTCCTGAATTCACAGCTACAGCCTGAAGTTTACTCATCCTTTTTTGTACAATAGGAAAGACTCAAAGATTGAATAAATAACAACAGTAGTCTCAATTGGATCTAGGTTTGCACTTTCTCTGCCCCTCATGAAAACTGACCTAAACATAGTTTATTAAGTATGGACCAAAAAAGTTACATTTGTCTCATCTGACTTCATTCTTCCAAAATGTTTTATTTCACATTTACTCTAATACAAAAGAAACATTTGTGGATTGTATAACTACATACAATCCTCTAAAAATCTGTGTTCAGATTTTTAGAGAAAATATGTTGGAAACCATGCACCCTTTTTCTTATAATTAATAATTATGCATTGGCTGTAAAATGACAACTTTTATAAAAGTTTAAGGATTCACTTTTTTTTAGACACTTTAAGTTCTTCATGGCTTTTATGTTTCTTGAGACAACTGATAAAAATAAACAGTAAACAGAGCATGAGAACAAACATGTTCAGAATACATAATTGTTGTGATGGTCTACATTTTGATACATTTTGCTCGAATAATATTTCAGAATTGTCAGAAGGAGCAACTGATATGTCTCTGAGCAATATAGACTTTTAGGAAAGTCCTGGGCTTTCCTAAAAATAAACAGAGGAAAATAAAATGATTTGCTCATGCTCTCTGTGCAGTGCACTTAAATAGACAGTTCTTCAGTCCTTGACCTGTTGATTGACTCAGAAAGTGAGTACATTAGTGGGTCATCTATGATTGCACTGTCATTAGTAAATACATGAGTATTGACACATGCATATAAAAATCTCAAGCACATTATACCATCGATTGCAGCAGAGTTATCTCAGAGCTAAAGTAGCTGATAAAAGGTTGTCCAACCAATTACAAATGTACCAGCTGTGGCAGTCAATAGCAAGGACTACCATGATTCATTATCAGAATTGAATGGATTTAAATGCAAAGTGAAAAGGGAAAAAGATATTGATTATAATAAGAGTACAGTCGCAAAGTCCTAATTTGTGTGCATAATTGCTTTAATGTGGGCTATTAAGACTAAATGGATAGGATTTTACTGTCTGCCCTACATTCAGTAACATCCCTGCTTTGATCAATACATATGATTTGTAAGTCGGCAGCAATCGATAGTACAGGATGAGTTAAGGATTTGACCTTGTGATGAAGAGCTTCTTCCTCTCTCGTTGACTGAGGGAAGGGACACACCCAATACAAAGAAACTTTTTTTCAGGCTTTTAAATCTTCAAAAACTAAAATCTATTATGGCACCATAAAAACTGACTAACAGTGGAATAATTGATATTCTGTGAGCTCAAATACGAAGCAGAGGGTCCATGCATGTGTGTGGCATGGAAGAGGTTAGAGCTGTGCCAACACAGAAAAGCATATACCACGGAATGTGTTTGTCTGCATTAATTTTCTGATACTGGTACATAACAATATGTTATAAAATAATATCCCAAACTTAGAATTTCCAATATTTATGAGTGTGCATGTAAACTGACTGACAACTTTAATAAGAGAAGCAGCAACCAACGGATACTAGAGATCCACAGCTCACATGGGTGAATTAGTAGCCAGGACAGTCATACAAGCCTAGACTTTTTGAAAGAGAGACTATTTTTATAAATAAGCTTAAGAAAAAACTTCTACAAGGTTTTTGCCAATTGCCAAAAGTCTTGTAGAAGAGGCATTGAACATGTGGGAAATGGTGCTCTGGTTGAATGAGACCATAATCAAATATATAGACATACATTCCAAACAATGTCAAGAAGAAAAGTAACATTGTTCATGACCCCTACAGTGAAACATGATTGTGGAAGTATGTTGCTGTGGGGATGGCTTTCTTGAGCAGAAAAGGAGAAAAGGTTTGGCCAAACCTAAAATCAAAGAACATGCAAGATTTCAGAGCTCATATTCAAAGATGCTTCCCAAATCTGATTGAGCATGAGCTGAATTCAAAAGCATGCCACACTTTTCAGATATTTAGTTCTGAAAAACATGTCCAAAAACGTAATTTTTCTTCTATTTTACTGGTTTGTCCTAGTCCTAATAAAACATAACCCCGTGAAGTTTGTGGTTGTAATGTGACAAATTCTGAAAGAATGTTAAGTAGACCCACTTTCATGAGGCAAACTGAGCCTGAGTGAATTCACCAATAAAAGTTCAAACTTTTGAAGAGTGACAGAACAGCCAGAGCCATTCAGACTGTAATCTTGGAATAGTTTTAGACACTTTGTGTTTTGGCAACACATGAACAGGACATGTGATCCTTCCTCCCACCCCCACAATGCATGAGCAATAGTGTTTAAAGTGTAGGATCTGTTTTTGATTTGCGGTGAGCCTTGTTCTAACCGTAGGCGATAAGACAGTACAAACTGGCATGATCATCCAGAGTTCTAAGTAAAAATGTCACAGTAAAATAATACCAGTAAATTCCTAAAAATTGAATGCCCACAGGTAAAGAGCTGGGTAACTCGTACATATTTTAGATCCCTTATCATTACCTCATCTCTGTTGTGTGGCTGTTGGTCCATCATCAAAGTTTCCAGTAATTACCAATGAAAACCAGACCAGTGTGAAAATGCTGAGAAAAAGATGTTTATTCAATTTCTAGGCCTGCTATGTATAATCCATAAACAAAAACTCTTTTCCACACACGAGCAAATATCTCTATGTTCCTTCTTACATATAAATATGTACAATGCCTTGCAAAACTGTCGATATTTCTTATTTTCAATTTTACTCCCACAAATGTCAATGTATTTATTGTATTGTCATTTCACTTCACTCAAAGTAGAGCATTACAGTAAAATGGAAGAACATGAAACATGGTTTTAACATTTTTTCAACATAAAAATAAATCTGAAATGTGTGGATTGTATTGGTATTCCATAATTCAATTGGAGTGACCTTGAACGATGTTCTAAAAGGACAGAAAAATGGGCAGCGGGGAAATTAAAATATCTAATATCTGTGGGAATTTGGTAGAACCATAAAGATCTGCAGTTTTAACTTCCTAGAACTGTAGTTCTACAACATACTGAGTAATAAGTTAAAGATATATCTTGTACTTGATAAACCTTCTCGATTTGCTTTTAAAACCTTTAAAAGCATGTTTTCTCTTCCTTCACAATAATGAACTATGTTGCTTTATTTTTTTTTTTTGCACAAAATCCAATTTAAAGCCAATGAACTTATATATGAAAAGGTTTTGGAGGAATGAATAATTTTTCCAAGGCAAATTACCCAACAGCAATGCATAGCCTTTGAATTATAAAGAAGGGGTGGGCATGATACAATTATATCATTATGTCTAATCTCCCTCCAGACACATAATCGTTTGTCCACCAGTTGCTGTCGCTAACTTTTACTCAGTCCTTATCTGTCTATTTGCGAGGCTAAAAAGTGAGCAGCACCCCGGAGTACCACAATACAACACAATGATTAAGTGCCGGGTGCATGAGTAACTAGAATACGGAGGGCTATTAGTTGTGAGTGATATGCTTGAAGTTGCTCCCATGAACTTTGCTGAGACTTGATGCTTGGCACTGTTGGGGGCGGTGGCGTTTGGGAGCGTGGGGGAGGGTGTGCAGTCTAACAGTTGATATTTACCCCAGTGTTCACACACAACTCCCCTCCTTGTTTCCATTTGGACTCCACTTATAAGTGCTGCCATTCTTTCCGTCACCGAGTGCAGGCAACACGTGCGAGTGACCGCGCTCCCTTTCTCTTCACTCTGTCTCCTCTCCATCCTCATTCCCTTCTCGAGCAAACCCGCTTATTAACACAAACACTGGCTGACACTTGTTTGTGCTTTTAATTGTGTCTGGATGTTATGTCTCTTGTGAACACATACATTAGCATTTCTCTGGCATGGTATAATCACTTTTTCAACCACAACACCATGCAAAGTGAGTGCAGGAAATTACCACATGCAATCATGTTTGCTTCACAAGCACATTTGGCTTCACTCAGCTCCTGTATAGTCTGCCACAGTCTCAAAGTTGTTGGGTTTTGTAAATAAGTGCAATCTGGGACGCCATTTCACTAAAGCTGAAGTTCTCCACTGTAACAGCCTTTAAATGTCATTTTACAGGATTTATAGTAATTTTAAGACCTGCTCTATCATGTATTTAATGTATTTAATACTCCATAAAACTATTGCATATTATTATGTAATTTCTATAGTGTAAGATGCATTTCGTTGACACTGTAGAATGCACACTGAAAAGTTTCAGATAACCAAACACAATAACATCAGGACCAGGTGGTCACAAAAAATAATATCCAAAGCACTAATTGTCATTAATTACATCTTAACTATAATTATATGTTTTCTATAACTTTGTCACAGGATGACAGGGGGGTTGGTGCTTTTCCCTGGCGGTCACTGGGCAAAAAAGATGGGGAACACACTGCGCAGGCTGCCAGGCTATGAACAAAAACACAGAAAAAAAAAATTGCACATACACATTCAGGTAAGGTCATGACTGATACTGTATATGATTAAACAGAATCAATTTAATTTGACAAGAGCATGTATTGAAGAGTTCCAGAGCAAAAAATATCGTTTGCCATATAGAACATCACATATTCATCAAAAGTGCATTATCAAGACTTACATCTTTAATATTTTGAAGAAGGCTGTGAAATTGAGCTTCTCATTACATCTGGTATGAAACTAAAAAACAAAGAACATGTTTTTTAGTTAAACAGCTTGATGTCAGTGTGATAGTCTGAGGCAGCAGTGCGATTTCACAACATAGCTGACAGGCATAGCTGATGAAGCCATGACTTCTTGTCTCTAGATAGAAAATCCTTACCTAACTGGGCATCAGTTTGTGCTCTATATGTAAAGTGTGCTAGTCTTTTGCGGCAGGACAATGAAGCACACGAGCAAGTCCACCTCTGAAAAACCCAACAAAACAAAATGACAGGTTTCAGAATGGCTGAGTCAATGTCTGGACTTCAATACAACTGAAATTCTGAGTGATGGCCTCAAACAGGTTCAAAACATATTAAAACAATTTTACAAGTTAAGGTGATCCAAAAGCATTTCCATAGCTAACTAATTACTCAATACCTGTTATGGCAAATTCTTCATGGCAGTTGTTAAGATTTTGTCAGGTTGGTCCATGGGTATTTCCCTTGATAACAGAAATAATTATTTAGAATTTACTCTAATAATATAATTAGTTTGATGATCTGAAATTTGTCTAATTGTGACAAAGAAGAAAAAATAAATACATTTTTCATGGGGCAAATGCTTATGTCACACAAGAGCCACCAAATCCAGAAAAGACAAACTGTAACTCAAATTTCAGAAGGATAATTCAACTATAACACTAAATAGCAACAGAAGCGACACACATAATTCAAAGACATAAAAGCACTCAGTTCCACAAAATACCCATCATTTGTAGATCGCTGTGACACATTTTTAGAAAAACACTATCATCCATAGGAAACAGTCTGGCACCAGCTTGAGAATTTATTTCACTGTTGTCCATCATCTGAAGCACAAACACACATTACTACAGTTTTACAGCATTAAAATGGCTAGTACAAAAGGTTGTTTGCTACTTTTTATTTACCTGACTTTACTATAACCAACATAACATAATATTGTCAAAGAACACAGTATTATCAAGCCTCTCCACAAACTTTGAACAAAGTAATGTTGTGCCAGGGATTGCACAGTAAAATATGCATGTCTCAATAAAATATGCATATAGCCATGTGTCATTGATGACATGGCTTCAACAAAGGCTGCACCGGTATGCACAAAAGAGTGTTAGTCAGATTTGATTCCCCTGACTTCAATGTGTATAGAAGAAAAAGAGTCAACTGGGAGAGTAATTATGCCTGACACCAGTGTATTTGGTAATATCTGAACATGCTTCTCTGTGCCACTCATCTGCTTCCCCTTTAACAAAAAATGTTTAGAATGGTAATAATAAAATTACGTAGGAAAAAAAAAAGGCTCAAACCTCAGCTGTGCATTGTTTCTGAATTAAACGCCCCAAATATCTTCTGGAAATAAGACTGTTTGCCAACAAATGGGGGTCTAATCTACTCAGTCATGGTGGTTTGAAGAAGGAATTTCTCGAAGGCCTGGTTCCAGCTCTCCCACCACAATAGTGATCAAACTCAGAAGAGGGGCTCCTGTTTCCTTTGTTTTCCCACTAAAGGGAAAGGAGGTTACATGGATGAGCTCTGAACTAAACCTGGGTACTGCTAAGGCAAAGCAAGTTAAATACTTAGGATATGTTGAATGTCACACATAGTTAAAGTGTTTTGTTTTTTTATCAATCTTGACATGGTATTTTATGTTCACTTTGGGTTTGTCTCTCCAAACCCAGATTGAAGAAGGGACACTTTGAGATACATTACAGCAACTAAGCCCATGGCTACAGGGTCATCATATAATCTCCTCATGACTCATGAGTCCCACTATCAACACAATAGAACTGGAACCACAACAGTTCGACAACAGTCAAGTACAAGACGGTGCTGCCAGGAAAAAACACAGAGGAACTTAGTTGCCTTTAGCTACTTGCTTTTTGAGTCTCAGGTGACTCCTTCACTACAGGTATGTGTTTCCATAATAGAGGAGTTAAGAGGGCCTCTTGTTGAGGGCCCTTCCCTCCTGTCTCGGCACACTGACTCCAGTGTGAACAAGGATGCCTAGACGATTTAGCGCAGTCTTGTTTGGCTGAGATTTGCACAATGGAAACTGTCATACAGCATGTAAAGTGTAATTAAACTTGGAGCCATTTTGCTTGAGAATATTCAGACCTAGCATGATTGGATTTCACCGTAAGAAAGTCGACATGCATCCTGCACACTGCTGTAAGGCTTATGTTTTGTGGAGAGTGCACAGGCGGAGGAGCACTTCTCATAGTTACTTTTCCCAAATGGCTAGATGTCCAATATGGCTTTCTTAACCACAATCTACCCCCGCCCTCCAGTCTCTGCACCACTTTCTGTAACTGTTTTGTCTCCTGGAACTTCCATTACCCGAAGAGGATAAAAATACAGCACCCTGTGAATTTTGTTGGCTCTGTCAGAGTTGCCATTGAAAATATGGATTTTTTTTCCTTTCCAAATTTCTCTCTGAAACCAAAGTAAGAAAACAAGATGGCCACAACATTTAGACAGAGGGACCACAACACTGAAATCAATCGCCCCTGCATGTGCACATCCAGCTTTCTTATATTGAACCGCAGACATTTCAGGCTTTCAACACACACACATGCAAACATATCCACCCACAGCTCCATACAGTCCTATAAACATTTAAACAAATCCACATGTAACTATGTGAGAAACATAAGCATTTAGAAACCAAAGAAAACAATGGATATACTGGACACTAGAGTCATAAACCCCCACACAAACCTTCACACTTCTACACAATGAGTCACCATAATCCATTACATCCGTTTGGATCTGTTATACTTGTATATCGACAGTGCCAATTTTAAAAGACAGTCTGTGTATCTTATTCCTTTCCACTATAAACCTCTCTTTTCCTTCTCAACCTCAGACAGTGATGACACATCCATTTAAACACCCCTTTCACTCGCATGGACATATGACTCAATGATAATGACAGTACTGAGTGTTTTATAGAGAATCATAATTACAATCATCTAAACCTCCATTCTTGGGAGTTTATGTCCATCTCCACCTTTTCTTCTCACTCTTGCTCTCTTCCTTACTAGCAGCAGCTGCTTTTGCGTCGAGAGTGCCTTTTTTCTCAGACGATAATCTATTGCCGTCCTCCCATCTCTTACATGTTGCTACATGGTGAGTCAGAGCTGTAATTCCATCATTAGCAGGATAATATGTGTGCTGACTGTGTGTTAAAACTTTAAGTGCCAGCTTTGCTTTGACCCCCGGGCAGCCTGTGGGTTTGACTGATGCAAAGCTGCCCACCAAGCACCACTTGAACTTTATAGAGTGGGTTTTGTTCATCACACACTGACCAAGAATGGATTTGGCTATTGGTACCGACACATGTAAAGTGCCTCGCAAACTTATTTATATCCCAGTGACTTTTTTCACATTTTATCACATCGCAGCCACAGATTTTAATATATTTTATTGATGCACAAATAACTTATAACTGAGGTAATAGGAACTTAATGCATGGTCCACATATTTTTGCAAATAAAATCTCAAAAAGTATACTGTGCTTTTGTTCTAAAAGCCCGTTCTCTCTAAATGAAATCCATTGTGACCAGATGTCTTCAGACATATTTAGTGAAAAGAGTTCTTTTCACTAAATATGGAGTTCTATGGAGTTCAGTCTCAGTATTCCTACATTTATTCTCTGAATGTCTCAGGCTTGTTAAAGACCATTAGAAAAGACTCAGCATCATAAAGGAAAGAACACAACAGACGTGTTTACATTGTCCAACAATATGCCAAGTGTGTAACAGCCAAATTCAGGCTGTTACACACTGTCCTAAATGCTAGATGTGCATTGAATAGATACTACACTTATGAAGAGTGGTAAGTAGAAGGTATATTAACAGAAAGGTTATGCTTATAGTTTGCCATAAGCAATGTAGGGAAGACAACAAACTCTTAAGAAGGTGCTCTGTCTCAAGTATTGGTGATTGTGGCAGCATTATACTTGAGGGATTAGCAGGGACAGGGGAGCAGAGTGAATGGAAAGATGTGGATGGAGCTAAAACAGGACATTCCTGGAAGAAAACCTGTCAGTGGTTTCAAAACTTGAAAATGGGACAGAGGGTTATCTTCCATCATAAAACCAGAGCTAAAAGTTTTATTTTTTATTTTTATGAGAGTAAAAATTCTAAAATCTGTGTTTGTAATATGACAAATTGTGAAAAATGTTCAAGGCATACAAGTACATTTGCAAAGCACATGGAAAGTATGCTGAATGACCTTCAATCAGGTCTGCCGCAAGTCTAAAGCTTCCAAAGATGTGCCTTTCTGTTTATCTGTCAAACGTAATGACCATGCTAGGTCACATTTCTCTGACGCGCAGCAGACGTTATAACACCCAGTCGCCACCAACCACTTTGTTCACAGCCAGTCATTACAGGCTGCCAGAGACAAACAGCTCTAAATCAAAAGTTAAATTACAGCAAAGCACAGGTTGGATTATGAAAGTAATAGACACAGAAGTGAATTGATAAGACATGTCTCAGCTCAGTTCCCACCAGTCTTTTTATTTCAATAACAAACTTGCACAATTAGGCCCTAAACTCTGCCATAAATCTTGCAGCATGTATGGAGTTTAAAGAATCCCTCCAGGCAGAAGACACTTTGATTTTGATTGCAGCATGAGGAATAAATGTTTTTATATTTGTGTGTCAGTTTAGTATACATAAACATGTTGGGTTTTTTTGTACTACATATGATAAACCCTAGATGTAGTTGAAGTGTGATTTTGACTTCCTGCGTGGTTCACATCACTATGCAATCACAGAGGAGCTCCTTGCAGTCCATGACAAATCTCCACCTGTGTGTGAGATCAGTGTCGCTGTACATGTGGGAGCTCGCCCTGATCCCACAGCCTCTGCACTATCACCCACTACCTGAGGCCCTGCCCGAATGAGTGACTGACTGACTAATGGGAGAATCTCATCTGACAAAGAGCATCAGTGATTGATCACCGAGTCTCACCTGAGCACCTCAGGGAGGCTCGGCATGCCAAAGATTGTGAGCCTCAAGAGAGCGCACCTTTCCTGTACTCGTCCACCTGACTCCCTTGGGCAGATTCCCTTGCTCATGAATCTGTGTGGTCAACACAGCAACTATGTGTATAAACACACATTCTGCCTCACAAGTGGTTTGTGTGAACCTAAAACTAATACAACTTGCCTGTAGGTCAGGAAAGAATTAGATATTTAATCATTTGTACTTTGAGACAAGTGACGTTTCAGTTGATCTTGGAAGGAGCTCCCTGACAAAACATGTTTAAAGAACAACCTTGGGCTATCAAGCTGACTTGTCTGAGCAACAGGATTTCACCTCATTAAATATGAATCCAGCCATTTTACACCAAACAAGAGCAAGTCCAATTGCACTGAGGAAAAGACAATTAGCGTTGAATCAATTTTGTTCTTCCTTTTATCTTCTCCCTCTCATTTCATTGCTGAATTATTTT